GGGTTTGTTTGTTCGTTTATTGGTTTTGGTTTGTTTGTTTGTTGTTGCTTTGTTTTGTTTTGTTTGTTAGTTTGTTTTGGGAGGCGTACTTTAATGCTATCGGAACTTCAAACTAGTCAGAAAAATGTGCAAAGCAGCCTTTATAACAATTTCCATGGTCAGTACGACTGTGTTCTGGAAAAAGATCAGCTTCTCTTAACATGTATGCTTACAGGTTATCGCCGTCTGTAGTTCTTCACGGGTCCAGGGGCACTTCTATGATCGTCAGAAATTGTAAAACTCCTGATAAAGCTTTCCCAGTCGACAAAAGAATTACAAAGACACTTCTCCTAAAAGCGATAGCAGCAAAGTGATCAAGAATAATATTCAACAAGGCGATACATATTATTCAGCAGTGGAGGACCAGAAACTTAATAGCGTTTAGTAACAACTCAGACACTATGGGCGTTAAAAGCCCTCATTTGTTTTAATGCTTAAACATTTTAGAAGCCACAACTGAAAAGGGAGGACACTACCGTTAACTGCAAGTGTTAGAAATGTAATATCATTTACGTTCCTATTCTACCCCTTGTGATAACACGCAACCGCGAATGGCGCCATAAATTCTGGCTGATCGCATCTTTGGAAATTGAATGCATAAGAATAAAAACATTTCTCTTCAATGTCCTTTGCCCGGTCCTATCAAATTGACACAATCTGATTGACTTCTAAATGTGCACGTGATAGTATTAGCTATTGCATACATAATGATTATAACACGTTGGCCTAACTTATGGTAATTCAGTAATCTTGTAATCATGTTTTCTTTCCAAGTGGAATGTTTGAGATCCTTTGCTTTTTAGTAAATTATGTTCAGTTGCTATGCATACCAAAAGCATAATATAATTAGCATGTAGACAGTAGCCTACTGATAAGTAATATGTACTGGAACCGATAACAACAGAATTGTATAGCCATTTATGAGTAGCGTCCAACTAGTTGGGCATGGCGGTTTTGGTGGGTTTATTTTTGTTTTTTGGCGTGGTTTTTTGGTGTTTTTTTGGTTTAGTGTCCCCAGTTCGACAAGTAATTGTACAAATCAAAATATTTTTATATCAAATGATGGACGGACAATTACATTTTATGCTACAGAAACTTTTCACACTTTCTGAGTGATTTCCTTTCAGAGTGATTTTCGTTTCTTTGATATCCAATATGGCGTCGACATCATAAAATGAGAGCCATAAAAAATTCAACCTCAAACTGAAAAGTAGCCTCCCAAAAAACACTTTTGCATATTTATTTGCAAAGAACTTCTATCTTTTTGATCTTCAAAAACTTCCTTTTACCTTTCACTAAATTTAACGCCCCTGGACTATTTTTGTCCTTACTCAAAATCACATTTTCCCTGGGGTGGTATGTAGCCCTATTAGTTGGGCGCCATGCAAAGTAATCGGATTGTTTATCAAGTTCTGATGTACTGATTAAACACAATATATAATCCATATTTTCTTTTTTTTTTAAAGTATTATAATTGAATCTTAAGAAAGATGAAGACGATTTGTTGCGGGTGGGTGGAAAAAA